AAACGTAAATAAATATTCATGATGCATTATGCAATATATGTAAAACTGTAACAATTGCATTACAAATATATATATATATATATATATATATATATGTAAATAAATATTTATTTTTATTTATTTTTTTTGTTTAGATACGTGACTCTATTATAAACCAATCCACCGGAAGTAAATGGATGTTAGTTAAAAATCATTTCGATGAAATGGTAAAATTTTGTCAATTAAATGAAATGTCAAATGTAAAATGTGTTTGCAATTTGTAGAAACGAGTGGCACGCGTGAAACGTCAATACTATTGGACAGCGATACAAAATACGCCATTTACTCTGGTGATAACCTATCCAGAACAATACGGTGTGAATCGTCTTCAAATACGGATTGAGGATGAAATCCATCGTATGAACATTAAAGGCAGCAATACACTCAGCTACTTTACTGGCAAACGTTGGAAAATTCATCCGCAATGGTAGGCGTACTTAATAATAAATGTTTTTTTTTTTTTTTTTTTTTTTTTTTTGTAATTTAAATTTAAATTTAAATTTAACAATTTTTAGGCTATTTTGCAAGCACAGCAACATGACATTTGATACGCCTGAAGAAGAGCTTTTATGGTTCTTAGGTAAAATGTCACAGCCCGGATGGAAATGGCCGTCAAGTAGAAGTGCACTGCCTCCCGAACATACGGCTGCCATGTATTGTAAGTATAAAACATAGGGACATAGGGACAATTTCGCATATACTCATATTGTCAATGTTGATGTCTGTTTCGCATTATCAGGCTAGCGGGCATTATTATAACAAGTTACAAGTCTGCACAATTACGATTAAATTAGAATCGTTATATTATAGTGAATTTATTCATATAGCTATTATTTGATGATAAGAAGGCGTTCACTTTCTGCAGTCCTTGCAATCGAAATAACAATATGAATTTGTATTATTCTGTACATATATGTATATATATATATATATGAGATAGATAGATGGCGAGGTAAAGGGGGAAAATGTCCGATTAGTTAAGTAGTTAATTAGTCCATTATCTAAGTTGATGCAAAGTATACTTTGGCTATTGAAAGAGTCGTAATAATAATAATAATAATAATAAATAAATTTGAAAGATTTCGAATATTTTTCTTCAATCGATGATCGTGACAATGCTAAGTAATGATAAATGATAATTAATTCAATCATAATAAGTTGAATAAAAATTTCCCTTACCTTTAAACTAACAGATAATTTTGATCGGTAAATGTAAGATTTATTTGTTGTAGAATGAGGGTCAACTTCTTGCCGAACCTTGATAGATATTTAGCTTACAGTTATATATGCGTATCATGCGCCTTCATCTATCTATAATATAAACGGTTTACACTTTCGCTTTCGCACATTTATGTAAATATTTCGGTGTATGCGTGCGTGAATACGTGTGTGTGTTTGTGTGTGTGTGTGTGTGTGTGTGTGTTTTTGTTTTTTTAGTATCTTCCTACTAATACTCTTTAACATCTAATATACATGTGTATATGTACATATATATATATACATATATATATCTACATTTTTGTTTATTTTGGAAAAATCTTCCTTCGTCAAAAAAATGAAAAAAAAAAAAATAAAAATTGTTAAACAAAAAAAAAATGCAAATCCACAGCTAACACATCTGCTGGACGCATACCATCATCATACGATAAAGATAATTATTATTGTGAGTAAAGTTTTTCAAAACCGTACATCTCTCCAGAACTATGCTTAAAATAAACACTTACTTGTTTCTTATGTAATCGTTTCATGCATTGGATGGGAACACACATGCATCGTTATTAAATACAAATTTCTCGTGTCGGCTAATTGTTGATTGAATGATTTTATAGCACAATGCGTTTGTTTGTTGCACTCACCTAAATACACGCCTACTTACGTTCATTTGCATAAGTACGAGCATATCTGCTTTACACAAACACACCTTAATGAACTATGATTTAATAATAATTTTTTACCAGACTACATTTCTATATAAAACATGTGTTATTTACTAAATTAAAATTAAATAAAAGTCCGCCTTACACGGGACCATTGAGAAGAGTTACGCGATGAAAATATCAGAGATTTGAAGATGCCCTACAGATCGCCGATGTCTTTCATTGATGATTTCATTTGTTTTTTTAATTTTATTTGCAATAAATCGATGGTTGCGTCAACTTGCTGAGATCGTATATCAGAACAGTAATCACTCTGTGACTAAAATGAGGGCATATTCCCTTCGTAAAATGAAAAAAAATCGACGACCACTTCGGCACGAAATTAGCCCTTAGCAGTTCATTTTCCCAGTTTAATTCCAGGTTATCAGTGTACAGGTTAAGATTGGCTGCAGCCATTTTGCTTATTAATATAAGACCATTAAAGATGAAGGAAGAATCTTCCTATATACATGTACTTTAAGAATATCGAAAGCAGAAAAATTCACAATGTGTTGTCAAAAAAAGAAAAAAAAAAAAAAAAAAAAAAAAAAAAAAAAAAAAAAAAAAAAAAACAATAACAAGTAAAAGCACTATAGTGCAGCAGGGCCTGCAAAATGAGGCGTTATATAGGAAGTGGATGGCAAATTGAACAGGAACGAACAAACATTAGCGAACAATAGCGTTTACGTCAAAAATTGCGGATTTGCAAGTTAAATTCAAGAAAGCAAAACCGAGAAACGGATAGACAAGGTTACGATCACTTTCTGAATCGATCGGTATAATATGAAGTGGATCTGTATCAACTCATTCTGGGTGTTGTTTACATCCCCATTTAACTTAATACACTTAATGTGCCACACGCGATGTAGGGTATAATTATAAGCGTTAATGTCATCGTAAAATTTCTGAAGACTTCCTTCTCCTTCTATTCTATTTTGTACTTGCTATCAAAGATTTTCGAGACATTATAGTAAGTATAGATTCGTCTTGGCGTATGTAACGTGTAGAAATACGCATTAGATCTCGCAAAAAGTATATACATTCACGCTAACATTAAGACACGTGGTTCACTTAACCATTTCGGTCTGTTTTAAATTTAATTAGAAATCTCAAATCTATATACATATACATTTAAAGTCGACGGCCAAAATACAAATTCTGGAATGGATGAGGTTAAACCTCAATTTATAGTGGATTCATTGATTTGGAAGTCGGTGCATGCATTAAAGAAAACCATTTAAAAATGCAATAAAAAAAGTGGATGATGATGATGATGATGATGATGATGATGATGATGATGTGTTTATAAACTGTTCGTAAAGGCATATAGGGGCCGTTATAAATACATATTTCTTAGGACCAATTGAAAAATCAGTGCAAACATCTAACCAATTGATATTTCCGTTATATATATTATAAAATATTTTTCAATTACAATGTATAGATTTTAATTTATACTCTCTATCTCCCCCTATCTTTGTCACATTTATTCCTATCCTGCCTACCTCTTCTCACTTAATTTACTAATTCGATTACGATTCAATACTATATTCACCTTACGTAACCATACATTGCATTTGTGTGTATAGTAAGAAAGCACTGTTAGCTGAGGAATTGCACCTTTTTGTTTCACTTAACAAACTATAAATATAACTAATTGCACGTATACACCTGTATTATACCTAATAGTTTATTCACGAAATCCACTGCTTTTAACAAAATTTAAATAATACAGAAATTGATTTTTTTTGATGTACATATATGTGATATATATAGTAACATATAATATATGATGAGCTGAACTATGCATTTGTATTTTACAGGTGATCGGCAGCTAATGCAATCATTAGTTTTTGATGCACGAGTAACCGAATGGTTCTCAAAAAATACCAGCTTTAATTCCAAAGATGACAAGGGGTAAGTGTCAAGCGTAAAAACAAAATAAAAAGCAAAACTTACATTTTTCTCATCTTGATAACACACAATAGGACTACAAAACCGAATTGCCCATAGCCGCTTAATGCCTTAAAAGATTGCTTATAATAATAAGTCACTCACTCCCATTGCTACGAAAATTTCTTCAGTAAAAATATTTAAATATTATATTCGAACAAGTTAACCATTATTTACTTTTCAAATTATTTATTTATTTGAAAAGAGAGAGAAAGAGAAAGAAAGAGAGAGAGAGAGAGAGAGAGAGAGAGAGAGAGAGAGAGAGTAATCGACAACGAAATAACAAGATTATGCCATATTTTATTCAATACTCAAACTAACTTTACCGCCGTAAATTGCTGTATGTCTGCATTAATAATCTCCCAGTTTGAGTTTTGAGCAAAATGCCGGACCATCTATACACACTGCATACACAAAATTAAATCTTGTTGCCATATAAAAAGGCTTGCGTTCCATGAAAAATGTAACATAAAAAGAGTGCCCGAAAAAAAAATCCATCGAATTATTCCTAGATATCTTTATAAAGACTGAATGACATTCGCCATTGACTTATATTATATTAAAAGTGCATATG